TTTTTTAAAAAGTTATAGCACTTTAAAGTAAAAAATGTAAAGAAAATTTTAACACAAAAAAAGCATATTTTTGAATACGGTAGTAATTTTCACCATGAAGACAAGTCCAGAGGTCAAATTTTTTTTTTTTCAAATTAAAGTACATTACATTAGCTTTAATTTAAGAATATATAAAAGTGTCAGACCTTCCGGAACATTTTCAAAAGTTAAGTTGAAAAAGTTAATTTTTTGTGAAAAAGTTGTCATTTTAAATTTCCCCCTATGGGCAGAAAAAAGGTCAAATTTACAAAAAAAATATACCAAATAATAGGTAAAGACATCAAGCATCTATATAAAAAAAAATTATATTGATATGTTCATTTTTGAAAAAGTTAGAGCATTATTAAGTTAAAAATATAAAAAAAAATTATTTTACAAAAATCGTAATTTTTTATTAACTTTGATGTCAACTTTCACCACGAAGACAAGTCCAGAGGTCAAATTTTTTTTTTTCAAATTAAAGTACATTACATTAGCTTTAATTTAAGATATATATAAAAGTGTCAGACCTTCCGGAACATTTTCAAAAGTTAAGTTGAAAAAGTTAATTTTTTGTGAAAAAGTTGTCATTTTAAATCCCCCCCTGTGGGCAGGTTAAGTGTCAGATTTACAAAAAAAATATACCAAATGATAGGTAAAGACATCAAGCATCTATATAAAAAAAAATTATATTGATATGTTCATTTTTGAAAAAGTTACGGCAGTTTTTAGTAAAAAAAATTGAAAAAATTTCGAAAATTAGCGATTTTTAAATTTGTAATTTTTTTGGAGGTTTCCCCCATTTACGGGGAACGAGGGAAATTTTTTCAATTTTGAAGGGTAATGTCTTCGACTAGATACGATTTGTGATCTTTTGACGTATCGTTGAAAGAAATCCGTTCGGTGAGAGCTGAGAAAAAGTGGTAACAGACACAAAAAAAAAAAAAAAAAAAAAAAAAAAAAAAAAAAAAAAAAAACACATCATAGTAAAACCAATACCTTCTCAGCTTCGCATCGAAGCTAAAATAATTCTATTGGGTATGATGCACGACTCACTATTGACGACTAATAGGATTGTCTATTCCATAAAGTCAGATATTGTTTAGTTATATGCTAGTAACAACTCTTATGTGGTTATACATTTTGTTTCTAGTTTTTTGTTCTGAATCATTATTGTATATAGGTATTCTGTGTCGAATAATTTTAATTTTACAAAATATGAAATTGTTGTAATTATTCAACAAAATCTAATTCGAATTCGTTTATTTCTCTCATCTACTCTATAAGACGTAGTCCGTGTTAACAACATTACAGTTGTTAATCATATGTACTTACTTATTCATCTTATATTAAGGTTCATATTATCAACGCATGATTCCCACTACATCAGTAGTATGGTTATCTGTACTACTGGCCGATCAGCTGTTACACACCACACACGCACAAAAACACATTTTTATATAATATAGCATATTTAGTACAACATTTATATTGGGTAATAATCAACTGATTTGTTTTTGTTGAAACAAATTTTTTTTTGTTAGTTGAATATATACATATATAAATTTGATATAGACGTTTTTGGTTTTGTTTTAAAATCGTTACGGCAAATTTAAAGTTTAAAAAACTCAAATAGTTTTTTGTTCATATTTTTTCTTTTACACTAATTGCGGGGATCAATTTTTTAAGCTACTAATTAGCTACTAAAGATATTTTATTGTGATTTATTGCTACTAATTAGCTGCCGTATTCTAGTCAATTGTGAGATTTAAATTTGTATTACCAAAAATTATATTTAGTTAAGTTCATTTGATATTGTCGTGGTCCGTGTTTTAGTTTTAGGTAGCATCTCTGACCAGCAACTCTGCGAATTGTGAGTACTATTGAAATTTATTTATTATTGATTTATTAAAGTTGTAGAGTTTATTTTGTTGTCGTTTTGTTGTTAGTTTGTTAAATATATTTTAGAGTTTATATTTTTATTACTGATGGACCAGAAGGGTCATAAATTGAATTTTTATTTTGTCAACTGCATTGATATTTTTTGTATAACCTAAAAATATTACTTAATATTCAGTTAATTGAGTTTTATTTATTTAATTAATTTAAGGGCCTTTAGCACACAAAACATAAACACACTTACACATCCTTTAACACATATGTTAAATTAAAGCTCACATTATGAACTATAAGTTAAAAAAAAAAAAATTTGTCTCGGAAACTTATCTTTTATGTACAAATGACTATCAAAATTGAACACAAAATGTAATTTTTGTGTAAAAATCAATGTTATTTTGGTACTTAAAACTGCCATAACTTTTATAAAAAAATGAACGAACTAAAATAATTTTTGTTATATAAATACTTTACGTATTTCCTTTTCATTTGATATACATTATATGATAATCTAACCCTTTACCAGTCCACGGGGGATTAAAAATAGCAAATTTTTTACAAAACTCAACTTTTTCAACTTATGTTTTAAAAATATTCTGTGAATATGCGTCTTTTAAATATATGTTAAAATAAAGCTTATTTTATGTACTAGAAGTTTAAAAAAAAAAAATTTTTATACCGACGACCTATTTTCTATGTGCAAATGGCAGTCGAAATAGAAAAAACAATAGGAGTTTACTTTGCTTTTGAAATAATTCACTAATTATTTAAAATTAGACATTATCTACAGGATTTGCATCGAAGCGTCTCTTATGATAGTGATTTCAATCACTGTTAAATATCATCTACACTTGTTCCAACTATTCCACGTCAACTTTGTTCCATGACCCTACTGCAACACTGTTATTTTTACTCAAATTAATATTTAATTTCATGACATTCATTTAAATTGAAAATTTTAATGAATTACTTTGAAAATAAACCATAATATAATGTAATTCAAATTATGTTATATTTCGGATTATTCAAAAAGTACATTGATAAAATCTTGATTTTTATATTCTAATAGTTTCTAGTTCGTTAATGTTATATAGATTCATTCATGCTACACTTAATTAATATGAGCACAGAATTTATGTATATTTATGTTGATAATGTATTTTATTTGGTTCTATTAAGCTCTTATTATTTTAGGATTTTTTAATATTTTAAAAACCCTTAAATATTAAATATTTGAAATATTGTTCGCACTCACTTGTATTTCTGGATTAGCATTTGTATTCAAACATATTTGTACTGATATAAAAATAACGCATAAAGAACTTGTCAAGTTCAACGAATTAAAATAATTATTGATCATTTTTTAACTTATCTAAAAATAATTTATTTATACTGAAGTCTTACAAAATAAAATGTACAGTAGTGTTAACTTATATTGCCCAGTTTTAAAAAAAAATTGTAATTTTTTTTTTAAGTGTACATATTCCTAAGATCATTTCATCTATTTCCTATACCTGTATAGTACTTAAGTAAAAGTATCCAAATACTTTTAAGTATTTAAATACTGTATTACCACTTCTTGATTAAATAAATTTGATTTTTGGCTTTTGGGAAAAAGTCAATTAGAATTATTTTTTTCACAATAGACTTGTTATTTCCTATGGTTTTTAATATAAAATCAAATTTTAACGAAAAAATATAGATGTAGTGTTTTCAATTAAAATCACACTGTGTATCGGACTATAGCTGAACTTTAAATTACTTAAAAAATTTTTTATTAAATAATCATAAATAGATGAAAAAACAATGTTTATTTAATATTATTTGACAAAAGTGTAAAAACGTTAAGTTTACTTAGATTAGATGTATTTTATTAAATAATACTATAATAATAACTTAAAGTAATACAATATAAATAAAATTTATTTTTTATGTATTTTGAAATAAATGTGTACGATACTTTAGATGAAAAGAGCGGAACATAGAATATGAATAAAAATAACATTTTTTGGCAAAATATCAACTAAATTAAAATAGTTTTATTGATAATACTAATATATTGTATTACTTTATGTATTATAGCTACTATTTGTGGTATAAATTTATTTATACATTTTTTGTGATTTCTTTTGAGGGCAATTTACATTTTAATAAAGTTTTATTTTTTATATTATTATCATTTATTCAAAAACTATATTTATAGAGGTTTTATACATGTTTTAGCTTATAAGAGTAGCTGAAAAGCTATTTGCCACGTTGTGGATTTTTTTATTTTACTTTATCGAATTTTTTTTTCTTTAATGTCTGGTACTCTCTTTAATAGAAGAGAGAGACATCTAATGAACCAAATTTGCTATATCATACGTCAGATCTCAGAGCTAAATTCTCAGCTCAACTGATTCAATCAACTGATTTCTTCATGTATGCATTAAAAAAATCGAACTGTAATCTAATTGAACCTAACAGCGCCAAAAATATTAAATAATTCCCTCATTTTTAGAAATATAAAAATATCTATCGAAATTATGCTAACGTTAAAATTAGAATTTTCTAAACTTTATCTTCTATTGTAATATATTATCACTTATAATATTAACATACAATATAATATTATTGTTTGTACATATATGTCACATATTATGAATATACAAGATAACCAAAACAGTGTTTTACAGATTTTTAAGTAACGAATACGCGCAGTGCTCCCATTATAATTAACCAATTAGAACAGTAAGTTTCAGCTTCCAAGATCACGCTAAGGATCGCTACTCTACCATATTCTGACTATAAAAATTCATTGTTTTATATACAAATCAGTTCTTTCGGTAACTTCAAAATACACAAAATCTGCGACACTCTACTCAAGATACTCACTCTATGGGACTTTTTTTTAATTAATTTAGGCTCAAAAGTTTTTCAAATTAAATGACACTTAGAAATTTTAAAGTAATTTTTTTTTGATGAATCTTTTAATTTAAGTTTATATGTTCCTTAAATAATAATATTTTATTTTTTTCTTATTATGATAATAAACGTCAATTTAAATTTTAAACATTACATTTTTGAAAATTATTTTATTTTCATAATAAACCCAATCCAATTTAAAATTTTTATTTAATAGTTAAAATTTATTGTGAACTTTTCATAATGGGTAGCTAGTGTCTGAGCTTAAGTCTTAGTTTTAAAAAACATCGCGACGACAGACGCCCAAACAAACTTACGCATATATTTTTATTGTTAAATTTTTGTCTTTTTTCTTTTTGATTTATCATACTATTTATATAAAGCCTTGTATATTCTGTACAATCATATATAGTGATCCGCTAACTTAATCTCATGTAATATCTTCAAAAATACAAGTGTTATAAATAATTTTTTTTTTTTTAATCACTATGGATGTTTGATGGTCTGTTTCACAATCAATAAAGATTTTAGTCTTAATTATAAATATTTTCGTGGAAAGTTTATGTCAATCTAATAAAAGTATATAGGTTCTGAGCATATCATATATTACAATTTTCATTTCATGACTGAAATAATAATTAACTGAAGCAGGTCAGAATAATTAATTATAGACGCAATACATTTTCTCCACTTTTTTATACTTTTAAAAAAAATTTTATTTTTATTTTTTACTTTGTAGAGAATTTCTTTGGAACTTCAATCTAGTGAATTAGTCTAGTTTCTTTGAAAGATGGCTGGTAATGGTCAGCTTTTGATTGTGTCCGTTTTGAGAGAATTTGTTACGGTAAAGAAGTGTTTTGCAGCGTTAATAAACAAGAATAAGAATAAGTGAGGTAGGGATATTTTATTATTTGATAACTCGACATAGTTCGACCCCGAGATATTCTTTAAACTAATACTTCATCCTTACCCCCATATTATATTATTTTTGATTTTTGTTTATTACAGGACTAGTAATGATAGTTGGCGTGGACAGTATAATATAATTCACAATTAAAGGTACATAACATAAATTTCACGACGAGACTGACAACACATAAACAAATATAAAATATAACAGATAAATAATCACTTTACAAAAACAAAACAGTAGAACTGACTAGAGCTGGTAATGGACGGGGGTGATCATATACTCCTTTCAGGAAACCGAAATATAAGCAAGCTTTTTTAATGTCACTGCTTCCACTGGCTGGGCGGCATGGCTGTGATCAGGGGGTCTATATTTTATTTTATTTATTCATTTTAAGATTAATTAATATAATTTATTAAATTATGTTACATATAAATAAATAATAAATTTAATAAAATTTTAGTTCTTAATTGGAAAAAATGCCACCCTAGGTCACGGTCTACCCCTAAATACAACACTGTTTGGAAAAGTTGTTAACATATAATTACATGAATAATTTTCACAAAAAACTTAAGGTAAATTTTCAAAAGATGGTTTTTTACGAGGTGCAAGGATGCAACCAACAAAATAGTTGTTACACGTATTACGAGTTTTAAATAATATTACTGAGTAATAATAATATAATATTATGTTTCAATTTATTTAACATATTAATTGAAAAATGGATATTAACTTATAATAGTGAATATAATATACAGATAGCTAATTGGTTTTTTATGACATTGCTGTCACAGTCACAGATTGTTTATTATCAATTATGGCTATCAATTTATATACTTTCTATATTGTTAGTTAGTGTATTTATAAACTCACAACAATGTGCCTAACTACCATTGATAATAACACTGCTCTGTACCTGCTAACATCGATGTCATAAAAAACCAAATAGCTACCTGTATTTGTGTATTATACATGAATATTAACTCGAAAATTTGAAACTTTAAGTGTTTATATCTAATAAACGAATAAAGTTATATTAAATATTTAATTGCCATTTACTATTAAATTAAAAACTGAAATATTTTATTAAATTCAAAATATGTGTACTTATTTAAAAAAACAAATTTGACACCCTTACGAGGCATATGGGATATATTTAAAAAGTATTACATAGTTTATAATTCAAGAATAATGTGTAACTAAGGATAATAAAAAATAAAACGGTAGCACAGTGGGGTCGCGGCATAGTGGAGACATTGCATAGTAGGGTCCAGTATAGATTTAATCTGACAGTGATTAAAATCACTATCATAAGAAACGCTTCGATGCAAATCTGTAGATAGTGTTTAATTTTAAAAAATTGATGGATAATTGCAAAAGCAACATCAACTTCTATTAAAATAAAATACAAAACCCATAATTATCATACAAAAATAGTATATTTTTCAATATGGTA